ATCTTGTCATGTTGATAGTTTATATATATAAGTAAAACCAATCATTATCTGCCAAACGCTCTAATGATGATTATTGGACAAGTCGGTCCGGAGAAATTTTGGACCGACTATGTTAAGTCAACTCGGACCATCTTATATCGACCCAGACAAGTATTTAAAGAAAGTTTGAACTATTTAATGATTATAAACAATTTAATATTGAATTTTGAATTAAGATATCTTTTAAATGTTGCTGAATTTGCCAAAATAATTTCAAATTAATAATTTGATCAATGTGAATGGACTCAATCCTACGGAAGCGTATTAGGGACGTATAATCTATGATTGCCAATAAGACATCTATCCCACCAAGTTCAAATGAAGTTGATGTATGCAATTATAGGCAACTGTACGTCCAACAACAATGAGAAAAATATAGGGACATAGCAAAAAAATAAAATGTGCACATGTGTTTCGAAGTCGAACTTTTGACATTTTAAAATCTAAAAATTTCGACTTTAATTCGAATTCTTAACTTTTGAAATCTAGAAATTTTGACTTTTGAAATCTTCAAATTTCGACATTTTTAAGTATTAAAACTTTGATATTAGTATTCCAACACAGTTATTAAATTTTAGAAGGGGGTGACATGGACGCAAATAACTAAAGCGTCATCCACACATTTTGTGTACGTGTTGAATTCCTAGGAACTTGTTGAGTGTCCTAAAGTTATATCAGGTACTTGATAAATGTCCTTAATTTATTGCAGATACTTGTTGAATGACCTTTAGTCATATCAGGTTTTTGTTGAATGTCCTATAGTTATACGCGATGAATGTCCTATAGTCATAGCAGATACTTGCTGTATGTCCTATAGTTATACTAGGTACGTAATGAATGTCCTTTACATTTATCAGGTACTGGTTGATACATGTAGCTGGTACTCAATGAATGTCTATAGTCATAGCAGGTACATGTTGAATGTCTTGTAGTCATATCAGGTACTTGTTGAAAGTCATATATAGTTATAGCAGGTACTTGTTGAATGTCCTATAGTCATGGATGGTACTCGTTGAATGTCCTATCCTCATAGCAGGTACTTGCTGAATGTCCTGTAGTCATATCAAATACTTGTTGAATGTCCTAGGGTTAAAGTAGGTACTTAATGAACGTCCTTTACATATAGTAGATACTAGTTGACTGTACTATATCTATAGCAGGTACTTGTTGTATATCCTATTCGTAAAGTAGATACTTATCGGAAATAGCATATAGATAAAGCAGGTACGTGTTGAATTTCCTGTTGTTATAGTAGGAGCTTGCTGAATGTACTATAATTATAGCAGGTCCTTGTTGAATGTCCTGTATCCATAGTAGGTTCTTGTTGAATGTCCTATATCTAAAGCAGGTACTTGTCGAATATCCTATTGGTATAGTAGGTACTTGTTGAATGTCCTTTAGTCATGGATGGTACTCGATGAATGTCCTATAGTCATAGAAGGTACTTGTTGAATGTCCTGTGGTCATATCAGGTACTTGTTGAATGTCCTAGGGTTAAAGTATATACTTAATGAACGTCCTTTACATATAGCAGGTACTTGTTAACTGTCCTATATCTACAGCAGGTACTTGTTGAATATCCTAATGGTATAGTAGGTACTTGTCGAATATCCTATAGATAAAGCAGGTTCATGTTGAATTTCCTGTTGTTATAGTAGGAACTTGTTGAAAGTCCTTTAGTTAAAGCAGGTCCTTGTTGAACGTCATATAGCCATAGATTGTACTCGATGAATATCCTATAGTAATAACATGTACGTGTTGAATTCCTATTGTTATATAAGGAACTTGTTGAATGTCCCAAAGTTATATCAGGTACTTGATAAATGTCCTTAATTTATTGCAGGTACTTGTTGAATGTCCTTTAGTCATATCAGGTTTTTGTTGAATGTCCTATAGTTATAGCACGTACGCGATGAATGTCCTATAGTTATAGCAGGTCCTTGCTGAATGTCCTGTATCCATAGCACTGCAGGTTCTTGTTGAATGTCCTATCTCTAAATCAGGTACTTGTTGAATATCCTGTTGGTATAGTAGGTACTCGTTGAATGTCTTATAGTCATAGATGGAACTCGATGAATGTCCTATAGTCATATCAGGTACTTGTTGAATGTCCTGTGGTCATATCAGGTACTTCTTGAATGTCCTAGGGTTAAAGTAGGTACTTAATGAACGTCCTTCACATAAAGCAGGTACTTGTTGAATATCCTATTGGTATAGTAGGTACTTGTCGAATATCCTATAGATAAAGCAGGTACATGTTGAATTTCCTGTTGTTATAGTAGGAAGTTGTTGAATGTCCTATAATTAAAGCAGGTTCTTGTTGAATGTCCAATAGTCATAGATTGTACTCGATGAATGTGTCCTATAGAAATAACAGGTTCGTGTTGAATTCCTATTGTTATATTAGGTACTTGTTAAATATACTATAGTCATATCAGGTATTTGTTGAATGTCCTATAGTTAAAGCATGTACGCGATGAATGTCCTAAAATCATAACAGATACTTGTTGAATGTCCTGTAGTCATATCAGGTACTTATTCAATGTCCTATAGCTATAGCAGGTGCTTGTTTAATATCCTTTTTGGTATAGCAGGTACTTGTTGAATGTCCTTTTGGTATAGTAGGTACTTGTTGAATGTCCTATAAATATAGCAGGTACGTATTGAATTTCCTATTTTTATAGAAGGAACTTGTTGAATGTCCTATAGTTATAGCAGGTCCTTGATGAATGTCCTTAAGTTTTATCAGGTACTTGTTGAATGTCCTATATAGTCATAGATGGTACTCGATGAATGTCCAATAGTCAATACTATATTTTAAAAGACTATATATAAACGTCTAGATGTAATTATGTAGTCATTGTGTTATTCGGTTGTTGATTCATTGACACATCCGATCTAGCTTCTTTTTGAGTTCTTCGGATTCCATCAGTCAGAAGAGGGTATGGGTACCCCGGTTTGTCACATACTAGTAGTCCAAATTTTATAATTTCTGTTGTCTATACTAAGAGATTTTTTACGTGGGTCGTGGTAATAGAGGTAGAGGTATGCATGTCCCGAAGCAATTATGCATTAGACCCGTACGCATTTGAGGGCAAAGAGTGGGGGTTGGGGTAACCTGGTATGGCACAAAGTCCAACTCTTCTATTTTCTGCTGGCCAAACTAAAACATTATTCGTGTTGACCGTGGTACCAGAAATATGGCTTCTAAAATGGTATATAGCACTTATACCGTAGACCCTTATGAGCGTGACAGAAAAGAGTAGGGGATTGGGGTATTCTGGTATGGCACGTAGCTGAAGCGGGATTTTCTCGCTGTGTTGAAGACCCATTGGTGGCCTTCCGCTGTTTTCTGCTCTTTGGTCGGGCTGTTGTCTCTTTGACACATTCCCCATTTCCATTCCCAATTTATTTTTTTTCTTCTTTACTATTGTCCGCTAGGAAAACTAAGAGATTTTCCATCTGGGCCATGGTACTAGAAAATGGTAATGGCCTCTAAAATGGCATATCAATTCGTTCTGTTACTATAAATTGTTTTATGACGGCCTAACGAGATCAATGAGGAACATTGGTGAAGATTATCCCCACTTAATAACAGGTGGCGCTGTGGTAGATCAGGCCCAACAACATCTGTTTGTATGATAAGGAAGTCAGCATGCATTCATAGGCATGATACACATACATGTGTATGCTGATAATTTAGTCTTAATAAAGATGTTTTGTTTTAATTTTTATATTTATAACTATTTCAAATATTTTAATGATACAACATAATGTCAAAAGTTTTTTAATTGAACACTGCTTGAACTAAGAAAAACAATTGAAATTAAGAGGTGCAGATGTAACAAGAAGACAATTAAGAGAGTTGATTGAAGGATAGGTTTAAAATATAAATATAAATGCATTATTATCATGTCTTTCTTCATTAAAAACAAATGGAATATAGAGAAGTTTTTAGAAACATGTATTCATTACTGAATATTTAATTAAATTTATTTACAAAAATATTCAAATTATAATGAATTTTTCGTTTTGGTTTCCATTGCAATTAATTTCATAAATGTATCAATTAATTAGATTTTGTAATTAGAATTAAAACTATATACATCTATATGACAAATTATAAACCAAATCTAGCTTTAAAAAAAATTGATGGGGTTTTTAACAAAAAAACTATAAAAAAAAATATCTCTCAGGACTCTTAGATAAAAATATTTGACAGTAGGCAAAATTTGGAAATGACTTAGTACATTTTACATTAAAACCAACAGAGGTAAATCTGGATCCAAAACAAAAAATTCTAGGTACTACAGTTAAGCAGTTGTAAAACAGTATATCTGAAATACTTGCGACTGGGAATCGAAAATGACTTATTGTTTGTCAATTCAAAGTGTTAAGAAAAATCTCATACAAAGTTGATGTTTTGCGAAAAAATAGAGACCTCTTTATTAGTTTGTCCAATTGTGACTGTGCTGCTGGTATAGTCACAACAGCTCATTGTAAACATGTATAAATGCAGGTCGTTTTGGTATGACAGTTTGTTTTTTTCAAGGAGTTGAGGACAGAGAAAACTTGATCACAACATTTGCTTCTCCAGGTGGATTAACAGAAAACAATATATAGTATCAGTAATCAAATGCCCATTTACATTCCAAAATGAACTGTTCACACCTAATTCTGTTCCTTACTTGTCTGAGGTAAATGGGGAGTAAGTGTTGAGCCAAAAAACATCATTATACTTTCAACGACAATGAAAAATGTTTTGATCTAGAAAACAAGCATGTGATTTTTTTGTGTACATATTTAAGATCAGAAATTAATATCAATTCAAAGAAATTAAAAATGTGTTGCTGAAATAAAAGATGTTTTAACCTTTTTTTTAGAAAAATATTTAAAACAAGCAGATCATATTAATTATTGTTTTGGAATATGACAATCTAATTAAAATATAGATCTCGGATTTCGTTATACTACGTTATACTACATACGAAGATCTAACAAGTACCCTACAAGGTTTCACTTTTGTGACCTTATATAACGTAATATTTGACCCCAGAAAGTATTTATATCGACCAATCAGAATGCTCCTTATAAACGCGACCTAGGAACATGTTGAAGATGGCGACGTAGAAATGGAAAAACAACATAGAAAATGCATTAACTGAAATTTTGCCTTAGTACAAAGTGAAAGAATTGAAATTTGAGAAGAGACAAATTTTGGAAATCAAAGATTGCATGGTCAGGCTTCCAACATGCTTCAAACGGGCTATGGAAAGAGTTTACATACCAGATATCTGCTACCCGATAATCAAGTCTGCATTCAAAGGTAAATTCTCGAAAATAGAGTATTAAAGGATGACATTTTTCTATCATTGGGCAACTTCTCGAGTGTTTATTAAAAAAAATATTTGTGGAGGATTCACAGTGTACTTTAAAAAAACATGACAATATCCCAGAAAATACATTGCAAGTCTTCATTCTCCTAATTCTCCTACCAAAAAATTATAATTATTAATTTACAAAGTCAATGAAGATATGGGATCAGATAAATCTAAATTCATTGGTAATAGTATATAAATCATAATGTCATCTTATTAATGATATTCTACTGTGTACTTGCAAAGATATACATGTATACTTATGCCAGCACATGCAGAAGAAGTTTTAATATCGGCATACTTTTTTTACCTCTGTCACACACTGATACATGTTGATATCATGAGGTGCTCCAGATAATTGTTGGGGGAAATTTTCTGCCAAGAAAGAAATTAATTGTTCACTATTCTTGGACTCGGCTGCAATGGGTCAGAATGGCAATTAGTGTTTCAGTGTTCATTAAATATTAGTTAAATGCTTTGTGAGAAAAATAACTTCAGCCTGTTCATGTACATATAAAAAAGAAGATGTGGTATTATTGCCAATGAGACAACTCTCCACAAGAGACCAAATGACACAGAAATTAACAACTATAGGTCACCGTACAGCCTTCAACAATGAGCAAAGCCCATATCGCACAGTCCGCTATAAAAGGCCCCGAAATGACAATGTAAAACAATCAAACGAGAAAAACTAACGGCCTAATTTATGTACAAAAAAACCGAACGAATAACAAGTATGTAACACATAAACAAACGACAACCACTGAATTACAGGCTCCTGACTTGGGACAGGCACATACATACAGAATGTGGCAGGGTTAAACATGTTAGCGGGATCCCATCCCTCCCCCTAACCTGGGACAGTGGTGTAACAGTACAATATAAGAACGAACTATAAAAATCAGTTGAAAGAGGCAAAAAGTGTTACTTTAACCGTTCCAGAACAAATGGTATAATTGCTGAATTTTTCGTTTCCATTCTCTAACTTTAGTTTGCCTCAACCAAATGTTATGAAACTTACACAATACTTATTACCAAAAAAACTCAGATCAAGCACAAATTTGGGTAGCATCACTTTTACCGTTCTTCAGTTATGTCGTTTTATAACTTTATATGATCTGCAAGAGTGGGCATCATCTGTGTCCTATGGACACATTCCCCATTTATTGTAGTCTTTTATACTCAAATATTTAGCTTTAACTACATGATTGAGTAACTTTGCAGAGGCGGATTTAGAGGGGGGCTCAGGCCCCCTTTTTTGGAAAAATTTGGTTGTTTATATAGGGAATCACTGAAGCATGGCTGTACAGGCCCCCATTATGAAGAAAATTTCTGGGTCCGCCACTGCTTTGTTTTCATTTGTAACATTACTAGTATAAATAATTTTGAAGACTTGATTAAGTAATTATGCTCTTGACTGATAGAATACTCTATCTTTAAATTCAACATGTCTAATACATATATATACTTGATCAATATATAGAACAAGACAGACGAGGCTATCTCTATCATAGTACATACATGTATGTTAAATTGTTCAGAAAACAACCAACCATCAAACAAAATCAATAGGTATCTTATAAGATTAATGTCTGGAAATGATGATGCTAAACAAAAATGTGAAATGAAATACAAGTTTAAAGATTTGTGTACAGATTCTGATAATAAATACATGTACGTACAAATTTGATTAGGGAATCCACACCTCAAGGACTAATCCCAAAAAGGATTACTCAAGGGCCAGTGTTTTTAATTCCCCAAAAAATGTTCAAAGGTAAGAAGATGTGGATCCTAGAAATGGATTCACAGTGTCAATTTATAAATTTACTTTTAGATAACCTACATGTATATATATCTGTAAGTAACATTTATTTAATAAAACATTCTGTCATTAACCAGAGGAACATATCAATTAAAATGTGTTTGAATAAACACTAGTATTAAGTAACAGGGTATGTACATGTTGGTAGGGAAAACCTAAACAAACATGCATGTACATTTTTTCTTCATCTTTTAGTCTGGAAAAGCTAGTAATAATTATTAAAGAAAAAAATTAAATGAGTTCCTCTGAAACGGATGTTAAATAATCTTAAATAAGCTTTATAATGGAGTCAGCATTGTTTTGAAATCAGAATATTCCATAAATATATTTAAATTGATATTTCACATGTTTCAGGAGCAGACATTCTTCCCTGGTCTATATAGCTTCATTGAAAGGAATCAGACACAGAAAGTTTTGGGAAATGAAATTGAGAGTCACTGTGAATAATTCACACACATGCTAGACATAAAGAAATGGCCAGACACAGGCTCAGCTATAGAATCTGTATCAACTGGAAGCAACAGCATTTTCATCAGAAAACTAAAAAGGATGTGAAAAACATGAAACATGCATTTGGAAATGTTCAGCCGCCAAACAAATAGATATGCCAGGAAATGCAAATTGTTTGCTAATATAAATGTCAATGATGTCTGTACAAAAGCAAAGATATAAAAGCCTTTTTCATTTATACATGTAACAGTCATATACAATACAGATTTAAGACCATCAGACAATCTTTAAATCTTTGGAAGCCACAGTACCTAGTCCAAGACATTCCATATTTTCAACTCGTTATGAAGACATATTTGACCAATCTGGTTTCCATTTATAGAAGTTTAAAAATAAGTTCTACATGTACATGACATGATGATCACCAGCAATGAAGGTGATATAGGATATAATATTCAAAGTAGAGAAGTATAAAGTGAATTTGAACCTCCCACCATAATAGCATTCTGCACATTTTGGATCACATATGGATCAAGCTGTTGTACTTGTGAACTAAAAGATTGTTGCTTGGTTGTTGTCAGGTACATTGTACATGTTGACAGTGCTATACGTCTATTAAATAAAATGCAGTTCAGAACAGTTATATTTTAGTAATAGATAGATTTCTTCTGTCTTTATTTGAACGGATAAACCAGATAATTAAAAAAAAAATTTCTGACAACTATGTCTGTTCTGGAACTGAAGACTACCTTCACTTTTTGTATCTTCCTTGTTCATTTTTCCTCCAGATAAATTACTGACTATCACCATGAGGCTTATAACATGTATAAGTAGGCTTAATTCCTCCAAGGTCTCCAGTTATGTCCTGTCTGTGACAAAAGTTTCAGAATACAAGACATGCAAGACATGAAATGCTAATCAGACAACAACATTTACTATTTATATGAAGTTTTATATTTCAGAGGGTAGAAATCATGGATTTGTCATACTTAAAATCATAATCATGATAATGTATAAGGAATCCTTATGTTTAGAAGTTTTTGTCAAGACATATGTCCATTGTCCTTATTCCATTTTCATTGTTCAGTGCTCCTTAAAAAACTACATGTGTAGTGATTTTATCAAGTGAATTTGTGGCATATTATAAGTAATACGATATTTGGTATACATGTATGGGATCAAAGGTTTACATGTGTTGTCAGACAGGGTTCAACTTGTCTCTCAATTTTTTGTCGAGCCCCGGGTTCTCATTAAGGCGAGTCCTGGACTCATCATAATCAGTCTGGACTCATCATTTTCAAAACTTGCGAGTCCCAAGATGCATGAAAATTGTAAAATGTTGTATCTACTGAGCACATACATGTATATCACCATTTTATCACAAAAGTTAAAAAATAATCTAAATTTTGTGTAATTAGGGATAGTGATGCGGCGGCGTTAACTCATTTCTTAAAAGCTTAATATTGCAGAAGGTAGAAGATCTGGATGCTTCATACTTTGTATATAGATGCCTTATGATATGAAGTTTCCGTCTGTCATATGTCTATTGTCATTGACCTCATTTTCATGGTTCAGTGACTACTTGAAAAAAAAGTTCAGAATTTTTGTAATGTTAATTTCTCTCTTATTATGAGTAATTGGATAACTATATTTGGTATGTGCGTACCTTGCAAGGTCCTAATGCCTGTCAGACAGTTTTCATTTGACCTCGACCTCTTTTCATGGATCAGTGAATAAGGTTAAGTTTTCATGGTCAAGTCCATATCTCAGATACTATAAGCAATAGGTCTACTATATTTGGCGTACATGTATGTAATGATTGTAAGGTGTACATGTCCAGCTGGCAGGTGTCATCTGACCTTGACCTTATTTTCATGGTTCAGTGGTACTAGTTTAGTTTTTGTCGAGCCTGAGACTTTTGTCGCAGAAAGCTCGACATAGGGATAGTGATCCGGCGGCGGCGGCGTTAGCTAACTTCTTAAAAGCTTTATATTTCAGAAGGTGGAAGACCTGGATGCTTCATACTTTGTATATGGATGCCTCATGTTACAAAGTTTCCGTCAGTCACATGTCCAATGTCCTTGACCTCATTTTCATGGTTCAGTGACTACTTGAAAAAAAAGTTAACATTTTTTGTAATGTTAAATTCTCTCTTATTATAAGTAGTAGGATAACTATATTTGGTATGTGTGTACCTTGCAAGGTCCTCATGCCCGTCAGACAGTTTTGACTTGACCTCGACCTCATTTCATGGATCAGTGAACAAGGTTAAGTTTTGGTGGTCAAGTCCATATCTCAGATACTATAAGCAATAGGTCAAGTATATTTGGTGTATGGAAGGACTGTAAGGTGTACATGTCCAACTGGCAGGTGTCATCTGACCTTGACCTCATTTTCATGGTTCAGTGGTTATAGTTAAGTTTTTGTGTTTTGGTCTGTTTTTCTTATACTGTATGCAATAGGTCTACTATATTTGGTGTATGGAATGATTGTAAGGTGTACATGTCTAGCTGGCAGGTGTCATTCGACCTTGACCTCATTTTCATGGTTCAGTGGTCAAAGTTAAGATTTTGAGTTTTGGTCTTTTTTTCTAATACTATATGCAATAGGTCAACTATATTTGGTGTATGGAAATATTTTATGATCTATATGTCAGTCGCGCAGGTTTTATTTGACCTTGACCTCATTTTCACAGTTCATTGCTCAGTGTTAAGTTTTTGTGTTTTGGTCTGTTTTTCTTAAACTATAAGCAGTAGGTCAACTATATTTGTTGTATGGAAGAATTGTTAGCTGTACATGCCTGCCTGGCATGGTTCATCTGACCTTGACCTCATTTTCATGGTTCATTGGTCAATGTTTAGTTTTCTTGGTTAATGTTAAGTTTATGTGACAGTTGTAATAAAGCTTTATGTTTAGAACTATCAACATAATATCAGTGATTAGTAAAGAAGGCGAGACATTTCAGCGTGTGCACTCTTGTTGTGTTTTGGTCTGTTTTTCTAATACTGTATGCAGTAGGTCAACTATATTTGGTGTATGGAAATATTTTACAATGTACATATCAGTCTGGCAGGTATTATTTGACCTTGACCTAATTTTCACGGTTCATTGCTCAATGTTAAGCTTTTGTGTTTTGGTCTGTTTCTCTTAAACTTTAAGCAATATGTCAACTATATTTGGTGTAAGGAATGATTGTAAGGTGTATGCATGTATGTATGTCTGGTAGGTATCATCTGACCTTGACTTCATTTTCATGGTTCATTGGTCCATATGGAATTTCCATGGTTTGGTCTGTTTGTTTTATACTACAAGCAATAGGTCATCTATATTCTGTGTATGGAATGATTGTATTAAAGGTGTACATGTATTTCCGCCTTGGTTTATCTGACCTTGACCTCGTTTTCTTGGATCATAAATGTTAATGTGATACTTGTAGTAAAACTTTATAAGTAGGACTATCAACATAAAATCAATGGTCAGTATAGTAGGCGAGACATTTCAGCATGTGCACTCTTGTTTCAACTTATTAGTCTACAGATATCTAAATAAAAAATTAAGGTATATACATTAGGTAAAAATAAAATCAAACAAAAGAAGGTGTTCATGTGACCCCAACCTCATTTTACCCATCAGTGATTTAGGTTATTTTTTTGTGCAAATTAATATATATTGTGGTTAATTCCATTTCTCAGATTCTACACAATGTATATAAAGCAGTAGGTCAAAGTTTACATATGAACAAGAAGAGATACTATACATGAAACGTTTATATATATGTTAATGATGATGGATAGCTGCTTACAGTCCAGTGGCAAATTAATATGCATATTCAGGACAAGAATATGTTTATGTGATGTGAATAATAACCCTGCTTTGTTATAGACCGACAGTAACTAAAATAGCAAAAAATAACTAAATGACATCTAGAATGAAACCTATATGTATATATAAGGCTTCAATAGAAGGAAAGGCAATTGTCTATGCAATATGTCAAGCTCTACTCTTTAATGTGTCTATAAAAGTAGTGAATAAATTCAGCAGAAATATCTTGTTCATTGTGTCTGTGATAATCATTCATGTACATGTACATCACATCACTGCATGTACAAAAATGTACCACATCTATTTTATATAGATCTGTCATATGCATTTAATACACAATTCTGAAAATAAAAAAATAAAAACTATAGGCCATGCAACATGTACTACAAGTATACAACAGGGTTTATACTTGGTACAGGCACATGAAATGTGATTGAATTTAATGAAATAGTTTTTGTGTCACCTGAGACCATTGTTGCAAAATGTGACACTTAGGGATTACAATCAGCATAATTGTGCAGCAGCATAAACTATTTGAATAAAGTTTGATATTTCAGAAGATAGATGACCTGGATGTTTTATACCTTGTACACAGATACATTTTTGTGTACCTTATATGTGTAGTCACTAAGTTTCTGTCCAACAAATGTCCATTGTCCTTGACCTAATTTTTATGGTTCAGTGACTGCTTGATTAAAAATTATGTTTTTTTTTCTCATTTGAAATTTTCACTTTACAAATGTATTATCTCAGATTCTATAAGCAATAGGTCAACTATATTTGGTGTATAGAATAATTGTTAGATGTACATGTGCATTTTGGACTAGCAGTTTTTATCGAACCTTGACCTCTTTTTCATGGTTCATTCTTTAGTTGTTGTGGTTAAGTCTATTTCTCAAACTAGCAATAAGGCCTCTACATTTGGTGTATGGAATGATTTTAAGGTGAACATGTCCAACACAGGCATTTTTTTCTGACCTTGACCTTTTTCATGATTTATTATTTGTGATTTTGGTCTATTTTGCAGACACTTTGAAGCAATAGGGCCACTATATTCTGCATATGACTTCTGCAGCCATAAACATATATATGTATGGTTTATCAATGCTAAGACTTTTTACATGTCCCATTCAAACTATGCATAGTTTGCACCCCCTTATCAAAATCCTTGATACACGTCTGGCAGAGGGAAGCAGTCAGGGGCGGATCCAGCCATTTATAAAAGGGGGGAGGGGTTCCTAACCCAGGATAAAGAGGGGGGTTCCAACTATATGTCCCCATTCAAATGCATTGATCGTCAAAAAAAGGGGGGTTCCAACCCCCGGAAGCCACCCCCCCCCCCCCCCCCCCCCTGGATCCGCCACTGGCAGTGCTATAGTGTACAGTTTAACAGTGTTTACTATACTCTTTAATTTCCACGATTACGATCCGACCTCAAGTCATAAAGCATATGAGGCACATCTGAAAACTTTGACAAACGTCACATATTTCAAATATTCATGGCTATAGTTACAATATGACGACGAAAGAGATTTAAAAACTATTTCCAAACGATTAACAATCGAAGCGATAAATTCTAAGTCCCATTGTTTTTATTTTTGGATACCCTCGGGAACTTTCAATGAACCTCATTCAAGTAAATATGTTCCGCGTGCGCTGTTCAGATTGGATAACTAGAATTCTGATTGGTTGAAAAAGTCACATGCAAAATCCTTCAGAAGTGAAACCTTATACGGGTAGTTGTTAGATCTTCGTATGTAGTATAACGTAGTATAACGAAATCCGAGATCTATATTTTAATTAGATTGGGAATATGAATACTTTTCATTCACCAAAACTTGTTATTGATGTTTATCACTCATAAAAAAAAAGATCATAGAAAACTACACTTCTTTTGTTAGGTGTCCATTCTTTGTGGGTTTTATCCTTTGTATTAAGTTTTATTGCAATTGCCCATTTCAATTTTTAACTTCCCATTTTTAATATGGAAACACATGTATATCCACCTCTATTAGAACATGCAGGTATACAACAAAATGGCATTTTAGTGAATAAAAACTTATTATTTTAACTTGTAAACAAGTAATCAACAGACTGTAATTCTAAATAGATAGGTTAAAGATAAGAGATGCTGTGTGTGTTGGACCTGATCTACAGCACTGCCACCTGTGTTATCATTAAAGGGGAATAATTGACCAATGTTCCTCATTAGAAAAATAAAACAACAATCATCTTTCAATGCAATGAAAATATGAAGCAGGTATATATTCGTCTTTACATTTACTGGCCCGTGTTGTAATAAGTGATCCTAGAAAACTTTCAAGATTGTTGAAATGCCTTTTACCGTCAGGCACCAAATGTTAATTTTCGACTATCGTTGGCGAATACTTGATTCAATTTATATTGTTTGTCAAATTATCCTTATTTATCAGAGGTCTCAATTATTTAAACTTTACCTTATAATTGGAAAACTTATACCATTATTCGTCAAAATCAGTTGATTTTTTTTATCGTCATGGAGAAATGAACTCTATGTTTCTTTGTGGAGTTTTTTATTGTATTTTCGTCGTTTTGTTGTTTTTTTTTAAACCACGGTGGAGACTTTTTTCTTCGACTTACGGGTTCTAAACCCCCCTTTGAATCGTTTCCTCGTTTAAAAAATATAAAAATAACTTAAGTTGCATTAAACATATACATGCATTACATTTTAAATTAAATCAAGAATTTCAAAGTATAAACCCTCAAGAACCCTCGTTTAAATATTATTAAAGAACTCAAGTTGTCTTTTAAAGTACACGGATGTCTGTGAACCCTATTTTAGATTTAATGCAAGTCACACATTTTTTTAAACGATGATTTCTTTAGAAATAAAGTAGTTATACATGTATGTTATCAAGTAAAACTATATTACATCATTCTTGTCAATGACTTAAATGCTCTTTGCTTGTAAAGATATTTGAATGCACACGGATATTAATTGGATCCGAATCTTAATCAAACACATCACACATCATTTATAACAAGATATTTTTATATTTCATTAGGAATAAATTATAAGCTGATATTTAAAAAACATCGCCATCGCGATATTTACTACATGTATCATTAACGTCAAAAACAGCAGAAAAATACCGTTTACATTATATGGCAAGATTTAAACGTGATTGTTAAAAAAAATCAAATACTATTTAAGTCGGTTAGGGAGCATTTGCGGATACAAAAGTGTAATCGTATAAAAAATGTACGACTCCCAATTACTATATACCGCCCGCATTTGTAAAACGAGTGGAACTATTAATACGGAAAAATGTATTTCGTGTATTTATTGTATTTTTCCCCTTTATGGACGAAGGACACAGATTAACCATGGCAGCATTACCTGCCCTGATGCAGACTCCACCAGATGTAAGGTACGCATTTCATTCGCCATCTGATTCTAACCCTAGTAGTCCTAGCTTTAACCAATCTTTAACAATCAGGGAAATATTATAGGCAACGATGTATAACCTTACTTTAAATTGTAGCCGATGTTAATGGTCTCCTCAGGCAGTGAACCGGTCGGGATCATAAGCTTTCCCCGGGAAACAGAATTCTTCTTTTATGTTATGGTTACAATCGTACCCGTCTTATCATATGATTTCTGGAATAGTTGACCTTAGTGTTTCGACTACCAAAGATGAAACACGTACATGTATACCTATTTCAAGAAACATATAACCGTCTTATCTTTTGGCCTTCTTTGGATATTGGCAGAACTTACAAGGTTGGTGGCCAAAACTTCCGTTTGCAGGAGGGCTATCGACGGAATGTTTGTGGCCGATAACGGAACTACAAGAATAGTATTTCCCAAGACACAGACATTGTCAATGCATTCACACTCAAGTTGTAATATTGAAAAAAAAACAGGAAATGTTATGTTGAGTGCGGATTTCTTTGGCATCAGCAATATATGTTGATAAGAAATATAGGACAAGAATTACCTTTCCCGACTGAGCTGTTTTTGCTAGGTGACAAAATATATCCGAACAGATATCCAGTATTGACACCTTACATGAGACAAACCCCATAATATGCAGAGAAAGTGTAAAAAATTAAATAGACATTTTACACACTATAGAGTAGAGGTTGAACACGCATTCAGAGAATTAAAAAAAATAACACAAAGTTATGGGGACTTTGTGGCGATTCACATTTGTTGTGACCATAAGTTTCTGCATTTGTGTGTCGTCGAAAAGACTTATGATCTCAAAAAGATTTTTACAGTGTAGTGTACTACTATTGGGACAAATAATATTAGACAGCTTCATACATACTAATTTTTAACCTTTTTTAAATGGACCAAATTACCACTTAACATAAAGATTCAGCATCAAATTTTTTTTAACATGTAATTTCATCCCCTTACTTAATATTTCATGCATAAATTATCAAGAAATAAATTGGGAAAGTGTATGAAAAAAAATTGCAAGTTATACACTGTTCACACTATGGACTATATATTCGAGACAACGAAAACCAAAGGTCGATAACTGTGTCCTCGGACCAACTGTAATCGTAAGTCTAAGTGTAATCCTAGGTATAGTGAGAGTCGATAGTCTCGAGTCGAGACATTTAAATAAGGGATCGTCTCAAAAATATTCAATTTATTGGTTTGTTGGTAAATTGGTTTCATATCATCAAGAGACACATTTATTATATAGATTGGTTTGTAGGTATGTTTATATAGATTGGTTTGTAGGTAGGTTTATTGATTGGTTGAAATTTTGCATACTGTCAAATTTGACGAATATCACATTCATTAATCGATTGAATGGTTTGGTTTGTTTTCTTGATTAAATGATTTATCGATTGACAGTCATGACAGTTTCGTCACATAAAAAGACACATATTTCATATTTCATATTGATTTATTTATTGATTGATTTTAACTCTAATGTTCAGTGACAAATAATTAACGCAAATTCTTTACTCATGGAATAATAGATACACCGTGTTCCAAATAGAGAGGAAGGGCGGGAACCAGTTTCCCTATTAAAAAATACACGGGGTTGGTTTCCTATGAACAAGCAAAATAAGAAGGTAGGGTCTAGATCCCGTAAAATTACACATGTTTGGATCAGTTAAACATGTTTATTTGTATGTAGATCATTGAATTTCTAGGAACATGCAAGGATTTAATACCCCTCCCCTTTTCCCCTTCAAAAACATATCCTTGCATTTTCCTTTATCAATATCAATGGAACCATGCAAGGATTAACACCCCCTAAAAATATCATTGACTATTCCTTTATGAATTTCCTTTTTTTTAAGGGATCCTCGAAATTCATTTTTTTTTCTTTATTTGTTGTGTGTGCATTTTGTTTTCATACTTATTAAAATCGGACCTGGATCTTAAATTAGTTTCACATTTCTATGTGAATCTGAAAATTCCCTCATATTTTCTTTTTCAATATTACCTAGCGGTCCGTCCCCGTGTATTTGTGTATTTAACCAGGGAGGTGGTCCACATTCGTCTCTTTTTGTAGGCCGGGGGCATTTAACCTGTTTCTTTGATAACAGAATGTTCTTTAAATATCCGTCACTGGACGTTTAACAAACAATCAATCGACGAATTGGTCAATATGAATTGTGCATCTCTTTACGTTATGCAAACTGTCAATAAATCTCAATAAATTATTCTTTAAATCAATCAATCGATCAATCAATCAATCAATCAATCAATCAATCAATCAATCAATCAATCAATCAATCAATACACATACCGACCAACCAACCCATTGAAATGAAGACCTAGCTTGTACTTTGATAAGCAAACAGTTTTTCAACCAATCAACCAATCAATTAAGCAAAAAGCATGTTTTATTTAGTAGATAAGAAATAACTTTATTTAACAATTGTTTGCTAAAACAATTATTTTACATTTATTATATTATAAAAGCTATAATTTTACCCAGTAAATCAATAATTAGGTTAATACTTTTGAGATGCTCTTTTATTTAAAAACCTCAACTCTAGATTTGTCAGTTGTAAACATATATCTAAAATGTCTAATAAAGGTTAAAAGGTAAAATTCATTTAGGAATCAACAATATACAAGTACAGTTTAATTACATGCGTAATTAGAAATATGAAATAAAACAAATATGTTAATGCTAAAATGCACTCTTTAGAATACCCTGCCAAGGATAACGCATGAAAGCTTGTCCTCTGATTTCTAATGAAGTCCTGTATTTACTCATATATCAAAATTCTGAAATTAAGGGGAGGCAAGGCATTAATTGAATTTTAGTCACAAATAAAGTTACATATTCAATTATTTTTTAGATGATGCTTTACTGCAGCTTTGAATGCGTCCTGATCATGTATTGATTTTATAATATTTGGAAGCGCATTCCAATCTTTAATAATATTTAGGAAAAAGATGTTGAGTCCACTCTATTAACTTAAAAACAAGAAAATTGAATTGGCAGATATTTTTTAAATCTCGGAAAGTATAAAAGTTACGTTTATTTTAATTTATTTATATGCAGTTTCTCATATTCTGTTCTAAGAAAATTTTATAATTGCGGAAGCGCTTCGTACTAAAAATGTGCACACGGTCAATGCTTTAAACACCCTATAAAACAACAGAAAGAACATTTTAATTTATATACAATTATATAGCAATGCTAAAACCAGGAAATTACGAGTTAAATATCAAGCTTTTTGTTTTATTGTCGAAACGTTGTCATGACAGCATGTTCAGTATTTGGTGTAATTGTTGTCTGCGTGTCAAATTGACTGAATCCTTATGAAACATCGAAGTAATTTTATATACAATATAAATTTTGTACATGGTATGAAAATATAAACTTTGATTGTTTGATCCTTAGAAAAAGGGACAAAAAGCGATACTCGCTCTTGTGTCGTATATCTTCGTAAATGTACATCAAGCTTCAAAATTCATAACCATGTTCCAACAGGAAGAATGTCTATCAAATTGATTTTCAAAAAGTGTACCAATGATTTAGACTTTAACACACGTGTTATAGTAGTCTCAGATTCAACTGAACATTCCCTAAAACAATGTCATTCAACTGACAACATTTAACCGATACTTGTGATTGATTGGCCGTTCATTGATATAGAACTTGTTAACAACGAAGATAAAGATATTACGCCAAGGCTTTTTCTTTATCGTATACATGGTATACATATACAATTATTGATCAATTTTTCATATTGTATAACTCATATGACAAAAAGAGGTAATGGTATGTATATGCAAATGAGACAGCAACTCAACGACACAAAATACCAAACGAAATCTAGAGGTCAACATACGATCTTTATAGATAGACAAATATCTCAAAAAATTGTGAATAAATTTAACGGAGACTATCATACAAAGAGGTGAATTCCAAATTACCATTATAGGAAAATATCATTGTAGCATGACTAAATACACGCACTGACACAGGTTCCAGACTCTGCACATAATATGTGGTGGCGTTTAAACTAGTTTTTAGATTTCAACCCTACCCCTTTTAATCTCGATTAGAGGAATAACAAAATGCACATAGAAGAACGTAATTATGTAGACTTGCTTCTCATGTCAACTGTACATATAGATTGAAAAATCTTAGTCCTGATGAAAAATCTTAATGCGTACACTTATACCAAAACTCCATGGTGTACTGTTTTGAGTATGAAAGCAATATCAGGGGCGGATCCAGCCATTTATAAAAGGGGGGGGGGGGGGTGGTGGTTCCTAACCAAGGATAAAGGGGGGGGGGGGGGGTTCCAACTATATGTCCCCATTCAAAGGCATTGATCGTCAAAAAAAGGGGGGTTCCAACCCCCGGAACCCCCCCCCCCCTCTTGGATCCGCCACTGAATATAATGTACATTATTTATATAATTATTATAAATGAGACTGTGTTAAAAGCAATTAAAACCAGAATATTCAAAAGTATGACACTTTTTATAGATAGCTAACATGGACGATATGTTTACCTCCTCTGCCATCGCTACATAATGAAAAGAAATCTTACCTGGTGCACTTCCAATAAACTTCCTGCTCTAAATGAATTGAAATATTTTATCTAAATAAATTTTATCACATTTTTTTTTACAAAGTCAATAAACATTTTTCATTTATTTTGGAAAAACACATAAGTTTCGCAAGATTATGTATGATCTGTTAAAAAAAATCATTATGAATGCTTGCATGTGCATGTTTTCAAAATGGTTTCATTGCGTAGTTAGTCATGTTAGTGTTATGTCATTATTTAAAATCGATTAAACACAAAGTCTCTGACAGAATGATTTTCCGAAAATCATATTTTAAAGCGTTTTAACCTTGAGAAATATCTTATCAAACGTTAAGATAAATCGGGTCAAAATTCTTTAAATGTCTCTTTTCAAATCAAACAACTGATGTCTATCTATTGAGTGAACAGAACTGTAAATTATTTACAATTTGACGAGGAAATTGATTGAAACAAATTATATGTATTTTGGTTGTACAACACTGAAATCTAACAATTATTGATATTTCTTTTCAACTAGAACCAGCTTTTCTGTTGTCACAACAACATATTTGTGTCGAGATTATCAGTGTTATTCACTTATTAGAAGTAATTTCAATGACCACTTCTGTCGAGCTAGCCTCAATCAGATTTAATTCAAATTTGAAAAAAAACTATAAAATATACGTAGGACTCGTAGGTGCGAAGGGGACGCTGAAGTGCGATGGTCTGTGCCGAAGTGCGATGGTCCATTCGCTGATGTGCGATAGTCTTTATGACGCATGATGTCTTGTTAAAGATATATAGAGATGTGTAATTAGAGAAGTAGTTGTTTTATAGTTGGTATAGCAAGCATTCATTATTGTCTGTGTGTCCTTAGTTGCAGTTGTATACTAAATTAGAGATCGTCCTCTTTGATTTTCTTCATGTGAGCATGATTTTGCGTTAACTTTTACCTTTACTTGGTTCCTCCCATGAGATCCTCGTTAACCATAATAGTATAATAGGAGAGTCTGACTGCGGACTCTTGTTTATTTAGAGAATGCATCGTTCCATCGTACGTAAACAAGAAACTTATGATGATTTCTAAAATATAATCCGCTACAGAAGGTTAACTTTTCCCTCTCCAACAATCACTCCTCGTTTACCGTAGTATTAAAAGTTTATTAAATTAAAAACCCGAAAAACTGCTTCTAACAAACGAAATGACTTCTACATCGACATGAAAAGCATTGAGAATATAGTTTATGTAGTCCATCACACTTCAGCATTACCACCATAGCACTTCGGCATAGCTATCAACAAGATAGCGTCACAATGCAACTATTGCACTTCAGCGTGACCAAAAACGCTCTTCAGCGTCAAACCATCGGAGTTCCATCGCGGTTTAGAGTCCTACATATATATACGTTATAAAGTTCAACAGCAACTTAATAGATTAAAATTGCGCAGCAAACGATATACCCGACGACGACTGACGACTAATAGCTCAAACAGGTTGCGAGTTGAACGTTAAAACGGGACTGGTAGTGACAGGTGGCGCAAGGAAAGCCCTTAACAGATAGTACATGACGTTCAATACAACAAACACTTTGAAAAAAGAAGAGAGATGGGATTAAAATGCATATGATTGAAGCAATTATTTTACTATTCAAATCGGTTTAGACAAAACCCTTCCTTTCACGATCAATATGTATTAACTCGGGGTAAGATATATCAAGTCCGTCATCCTGCTGTGACGCTTCACATCAAGCAACAGATAACCTGAAAGCTGGGACACTTAAAAACAGGAAACGCAACATATACATTACGGAATACACATGTAATTGTGAAGTTTAAATGCTGTAAATTCATGGGGACATTTTGACATTCACGTTGAATGGTTGCATAACATTAGAACGTGTCTACTGTACCTGCCAATTACCTCAGACCTGCATCTAAATTAGGTTCGGTAAAGGATCATTCCATAATTTTTGTACTTGAAATCCCTCAACATAACTTTTTTGTAACATTGATGGATATGTAATTTTGGGCTTCAGATTAATTGTTGAAAAGACGACCAACGCTCATTCAGTCTAATGTTATATATCCAGTTACAATGATCAAGACGTGATACCAAAAACTGCACCTTAAATTGGCATTTTAGGTCAACTATGTTAATTATGACATATTTAAGACGTTACATGGAAATCACAAATGATTGATTGATTGGTTGTTGGTGTTATGGTTTATCCTCACATCCAACACATTTCGTTATAGCATGGCGTCCAGTTTGTATTGGTGGACTAAGCCAAGAATACGTAGAGAACGACCTTCGACAGGAAAACGGGGCCTTGGTGGCCGAGTGTTATCAGAGACTCAGAGAGGCATTACATGGTGTTCAAAACATACCCCAGCCCCTCCCCCTTCCCGAGAGTATCCCAGTGTGAAGAACATGTCCCAGTTTCTCTTTGTTAAGGTAGAACTAAACTACAAAGATCGACCGTTTGGCTGAGTGAGATGTATAAATACCCTTGCTTAACCACGTCCGATGGTAAATCGTATGCTTCGAATAAGGATATTTAACATTCTCTGCAAGTCAAAATACCCGTTTAACAACTCTTTTAGGTGTCCGTAGTTAGCACATTGCATGGCAAAATATGTGCCTTTATCCAGCATGTCAACATTTAATTTTCCTGTTTTGCCCGGTACCCAAACTACACTTATTTTGACAGACCCCCCCCTTACGTTTATTTAAGACCGAGACAAAAATTTCCATTCTGTCTTTATTTTGTAGATTGAACCTAAATTACTATATATTTCCACAAAACTAAATTTGAATCCATACTGAATCATAGAAAAATGTGGTTGAGCCGACCTCGAAACGACCCAAGATTCTGTAATGAGGAGTACCTAAATTGCAACATGCTTAAATTCACATCCGCAGAAATCCAGTCTCATTAAAACCAGCCCCCACTATCCACTTGCGTTTAAGTGGGGGTGGTTTTAATCAGACTGGCAGAAATCGAACTACTGATGTTTTGTTTAATTTCACCACATTTTTAGAATAATTCAACATTTTTCCTTCCCTTCATTTTGTAAGAAATAGATGCCTCTGACATATGTTAATTGATCATTTTTAAAAGATGACTTTTTGTGGTCGTCGCATACGTCATTTCCGTACATTTTTTACCGTTTTGTACATTTAAATAAGTTAGCTATGTTGACAGACATAATTAGTGCAATTTAGGTACTCGGTGCACTTTGGATACTGTGACGTTATCCATTAGATCAATTTTTAGGATGGTTATTTCTGAAATGTTTACTACTGGTATGAAACAAACAACAATAAATCTATTAATCAAGACATCTTCAGAATAACCCAACGTATGTACATGTCTTTTAAAGTACTTTAACAAAATATCAAAAGTACAAATTCGGTGATAAGTCTCATTTGATGATGTCACAACTGAGGAAAAAGGGACGAAAGTGTATAAATTTTTAGATGAATATATGAAATAATCAAATTTTTATTCTCTCAAAATGTTTGACAAAATAACCGAACTTGAAGTATATGCCTGTGTTTGTAGTGGGACATACTATACTAGATTTACTTTAGTATCTATCAGGGTCACAAGTGTGATTGGAAAATTACTTCATCTAATTAAGTTCAAGTATGTCTGATTTATCCGTTTACGGCACTCCGGAAGGAAATAATTTTCATTTTCTACAAATCCCAGATTGCAAAAATCACTGGACATATGTCATCGAAAAGTTAGTAGAGTTCGACAAACAGTTCGCATACTGGTTTTTGTAGAGAACAACAAGTTGTATACACAATCTCTAATGTTTAAAATATTCAAAATTTTGTCAACTTCAAAAGTTAAAACCTTTTTTCTCCTAGATATAAAAACAAGAAGATGTGGTATAGTTGTCAATGAGACAACTCTCAACAAGAGACCACATGATATAGAAGGTTAGCAACTAATAGCTATAGGTCACTGTATATAGTCTTCAAATATGAGCAAAACCCATACTGCATAGTCAGCTATAAAAGGCCCCGAAAAACTAAAGGCCTGACTTATGTATACATATACAAAACAATAAACGAAAAACATATATGATATACAACAACAAACGAAAACAACCGAATAATTACAAGCTCCTGACTTGGGATAGGCACATACAGAATATGGCGGGGTTAAACATGTTAACGGTCGCCAAACCTTCCCCCTGAGCAAGGAGTGGTGCAACAACGCAATATAAGATCATACTTTACAAATCAGTTGAAAAGGGCTTAACTCAGCAGATCAATACAAGGCACATAATACAAAAAAAAAAAACCCTAACTTAAACACAAAAGATACAGAGTACAGATCTGAGAGTACTCGCAGTTACTGAAAGCCAGTTCAAAGCCAAAACAACTAATAAAAAAATTATGCACAAGTTATTTCCGTCTCTAAGACAATATGCACAAGTTATTTCCGTCTCTAAGACAATATGCACAAGTTATTTCCGTCTCTAAGACTATATGCACAAGTTATTTCCGTCTCTAAGACAATATGCACAAGTCACTTCCGTCTCTAAGACAATATGCACAAGTTATTGTCTCTAAGACTATATGCACAAGTTATTTCCGTCTCTAAGACTATATGCACACGTTATTTCCGTCTCTAAGACAATATGCACAAGTTATTTCTGAAAAAGAAAAATAGATTTAAGAACAAAATAATTTTTATCCAAAAGAAAAAAAAAAAGAAGTTTCTTTGTATTTCATGAGAGCTATTGTTATGTCTAAATCAGTGAAGTCACATTTTTATATATTACCATGTAAATTGTACCAATTTTCTTTTGCATGTTTTTATTCCAGTATCAATTTTTGGATAATGTATCTCCAATAGTATTTCTTTAATTTCTTGAAGTCTATTATATTTGTGTATCTAAATTAGACATGTTAGAGACCATTGTACACATTCTTCAAATTTCTACAAATTTCATCTCTCCAACGCCTGGAGAAAGTGACGACTGGTGTCATAATTACGAAACAAAATTTAAAAAGGAATATAATTATGAAAACCCCATTTAAAAAAATATGAAACCATTCGTATGCCCACGCAGTAACACTATTAGTAACACCAACAAGAAAGACAAAAAATACCAAAACAAATATATCAATGTAGGAAGATTCAGACAAGAAAGTACATAAAAAATTATTATAAACCGTAGTACATAACCAACAAGACGTAACAATTTCCAAAATCAGCGGAACAAATTTATCCAG